GCGACACTAACAGTGAAAAGGCCAGACACCGTTATTTTATTATTTCTTCTGCTGAGCCAGAAGGTTAATTGGGACAGTTATATCATTGGCAAAGATTTTGGGTTTGGCCACTTGTATTCTCTGACCTCAATCTGCTTTTCCATAGCGACTTTTTGGCACACAAATAGCAAATGAGAAATTCATAACCAAGCCAAGAATGTTCTAACACGAACTTCTAAATCCTGAAATACTTGTCACTATACTGTATTATCTCCTCAGACATTAATTTCTGCAATTGTTACAATAAACAGAATATTCTTGCAGTCATTTAAATTACTCATACCTTTTCTAAGGTATACTCTCCCTCTTACCACTTCTGGATCTGGCTTGCTAACCGTGTAGTAAAATATCCACCATTTAGTTTTTTTTTTCCATAAATACATATAAAAATTACACAGAAAAAATATCTGGAACACATTGATCCTAATAAATGCAATACCTTAACAATACTTATTTTGAGTGCCTTTTCTCTTGACTACAACTCCCTATAATTTTTTAAGATAATTACTTGATGAACCAACCAAGAACTCTAATACATACAATTACCAGTTTTTTACTAACCACACTCTTACTTCTGCAACACCACACTCTTCTCAGTTTACTTCTATATCACTCATCACACCTCTTCTTTATGCAAGGGAGAGTCTCTGGGTCATCTGTAATGACCCTGACTACTCACTCACTAAAACCCCAACCTTAGTTAAAATCAAGTATCTATGACATCAGGCCACACTACTACACTCAAGATCTGAAGGTTGCCAGCTAGAAGAAATCATGCAGTTTCCTGACCAGTATTTTAAACTCACTGCCCTAATTCTCAAATGCGTGTTTGACTCTGTCTGACAATCCTTCATTTCTCTAGTTATGTTCATTTACACACAAACCAATTATTTCATACTATCTCTAATTTGTAAGTCTTTAGCACCACCACCTAGTCCATCACACTGAGAATCTAGAAAATAACCTAACGTTTTCATTGAGAAGTGGAGGGGAATCTCACCCCCATATTCTTACTACTAAATATATCAACTTGCCAGTATTTTTATCTAGCCAAGTTCTTTATACCTCTCTTCTACAAAGGAAAGTAACTTCCTTCTTCCTAACAAATGTTAGCTCTTCCACTTATATCCTATTACCTATTCCCTTTCTATCTACTCCAGGACTTAGTATTCCAATATTTCTTTTCTCTCCCTTAAAACATTACTTTCCTTTCTTTCCAAGTATATTTATATCAATACAATTATGTCTTAGAAGCTCTCATGAAAAAAAAGAAAAATCCTCCCAAGACACCATACACTTCTCTCTATCTAACACCAATTTTTTTTTTTAACCTCTATTACAGAAAGGAAAAAAAGTTGTTTGTAATCACCAGCTGTACTTTCTCATTTTCTATGCTATCCTGAAACAACTCCAATTATCCTCTGTCCTGGTCAAAACTCTTGTCAAAGCCCTCAAGGACATTCGTGTGATCAAATCCATCTTCATTTTGCTTGGTTGCTCAATACCACTTGAAGAAACTGATCACTCTCTTCTTTGGGAAAAATCTTCTTCTCTTGCCTTTTTTGATACCACATTCTCTTCAGTTTCCTTCTATTTCACTTGACATTCCTTTCCAACCTCCTCTCTGGGTTTTTATTACTTTGCCAAGTGCTACAGGCTGGCACACCACAGAGCTTAGTCCAGAGCCCCATTCTTTCTTGATGATCTTTTACTCATTTCACCTACGTAAAAAGCTGGTCCCATAAATATAGCCTCTTTTTACTTTTTTTTCTAATTTGTGAACATGACAGAGATAGAGTGATTATGAGAGGAGGAGGGAGAAAGAAAAAGAAATAGATAGGCACTCTTCCTGACAGTCTGTCTCCACCATGATCCACACTCTAACTCAGCCTCCTGGTTAGCCAGGATTACAGACACACATTATCATGCTCAGTATGTTCAAGCCTAGACCTCCCATGTGGCCCCAGCTTCAGCAACATCCAATCTCTTGCTTTAATTAATTTGCCATTGGCTGTAATAGCCAAACACATTTAATATTTTCTTCTGAACCTGAAAAAGATAAGATTTTGAGTAGGCCAGTTCTAGCAAATAAATTATTTAAACTTGATTTGAAAAATAGAGTTGTCAAAAATATCAAAATCAAGAAATTCTCACTGAATTTGAAGATTCTTTAAAGTCTAATTACAAAAGTATTAGACTTCCCCTGATCATATACAGAAAACATAGTATAATTAGTAAATATCTCATGCTAAATGCTAGCTTTAAAATTAAAGCAAAATTACCATCATTTGGGGTAACGCTCCAGCCAAAAACAAAAAAGCCAGATTAAATACAAAAATCATCTATTTAAAGACATCATCAGAGGGCTACTGCTGCAATAATAGCTTGACTGGTCAAGACTTTGATAAGGGGTTAACTGGAGAGGGGTGAGCTGAGGATATGTACTTATTTTCCCTCTAAGAGGTTTATACATTCTGAGTAAAAAGAGGGGGCTGAAAAAGCCAGATTTGACTGGCCTCCTGGAGGATGAAGAAACCACCCAAACTGTTGGTAGTTATGCAGGGCCAAAGTGACAAAATGGGAGACCTGAGCCTTTTATATACCCCAAATCATTTGACAAATTCCCAACCTGGTCAGGACTTGAAGCTAAAAAACAAAGCCCGCTGTCCTTTGAAAAAAAACGTCTTACAAAGCTGATGAGACAAACACTAGAATATAGCAGATGCCAGCAGTAGGCCTTTGTGAATACTCAGCTCTGTTTAGGAGGCCTCACCAAAAGCAGGGAATTAAGCAGCAAGGAGACTAAGACAACCTAAACTTCCACCAGCCTCCATAAGAAATAGTAAAGAACTTTGGGACATGACAGAGATGAATGAATAGGAAACATTTTATAAAGTAGGTCAGGAAAACAAACAAACAAACAACCCACCATTGGTTAAGTGATAACCTTGCGCAGGCCAGAGAAGATGTGAACTGTAAGTACAAAACTAGAGAGGTTGTTTTTACATAGAAGCAAGTAGTAAAAGAGAAAGCACAAAAGGCAGAGTACATGGGTTCAAGTGCAAGCAGGCTGGTGGACGAAAAGGTGTAGGATGTGCAGAAGTTGTCATTTTGATTGTTGAGGGAAAGTCGTATATCTACGGAAAGGAGAAGAGATGAAATAGTCCTCCATAGGGGACAGTTGGATGGATTTAAAGAAGGCAAGACTGCTAGGCAAGTATTTGAAGATAGTGATCATGAATTTAAAGTATGTTCAGTTAGCAAATCTGTGTGATTTTCTTTTTCCTGCCACGTAAAGCAATGAGGGTGCAGAACAGGAGGAAATAGCAATTTATTTAGACTTCAATTTTGCTAGGTGAGTGTAGGTCAAAGGAAGGGAGGGTCATGAGAACAGGTTATACTATATGCAAGTTGGTGATAATTACAGAGAGCTATGGAATCCAAGGTAGATAAGGAGAGAAGTGAGAATATGACGGGTTTCAAGAGTAGAAAAGAGTTGGTAAAATCAATAAAAATATATGCTAGTGGGGAGCAGCAGTTAGCGTAATGGCTATGTCATTGGACTCCCACGTAGTCGACTGTGGTTCGAGTCCCAGACCCGGTGGCTTAAAACTCACGCAAGGCACGTGTGTGTGAGCGTGCCCAAGATCCCGAGAGGAGAATGGAGGAGAAGGGATCGCGGCTATATATATACATATATATATATATACATGCTAGTGGAATTGAAAACTGCTGAAGTCAAGAGTTGTAGAGTAGCAGAGCTAGAAAATAGTATGGGGTGGTTAAAAAGTGGGACGCTTGATGGGACCAGCAGATAGCATATTGGTTAAGTCACTGGACTCCCATGTAGTTGAACACAGTTCGAGTCCCGGACCTGGAGGCTTAAAACTCATGCCAGGCATGTGTGTGTATGTGCCCAGGATCCCGAGAGGAGAATGGAGGAAAAGGGATTGCTGCATGGCCATCTGTCCTTGAGGGTGATTTCTCACTTTCTGTCTCTCTGGTGAATGCACAGGCCCTGTAGTAAAAATATCTCTCTTAAAAAAAGAAAAAGAAAAGAAAGAAAGTGGGATGCTTGAAATTGAGGCTGGTAATGACCACACATAGGCTATGACCCTAGAGTACAAGTCATTAGTAATTGTGCAGCACATGATGACTAGAGGGGAGAAACTCTAGGAAAAGAGAGGCCAAGATATGAAAGGATCATCCACATAGATGTTTAAATCACCAAGAATTATGACAGGAGTATAATGAAGAATGAGACAATAAACTAGATCGTCAAATCTTTATGAAACCAGGGAAGTGACATAGGAAAGTGTACAAGACTGCACCAAGAATGAGTACTGGATTCTCTAGTCTTGTGCATGAGCCTCAAAACTAGAGGGGCATAGGGAGGAAAAAGGAACACTTGCCTAAAACCACCAGTGAGGAATAAGCCTCCAACCCAGGGGGATAAGTGCTGTGGGAGGGGACATAGTCACTACTTGAGAGAACCACAGAGGGAGCCTCAGGGAGGTATCAGGTTTCAGTCAGAGCAAGGAGGTGCCCATAAAAAAATTGACTAATAATTTGATCCATTTATCAATATTCACTAAAGGTACTTGGAATGAAACAGTAATAATGATGGCATTTCAGCCCTCAAAAAACTACAACTCAAGTCTCACATAAGAATGACTACTGTAAAGAATATAAATTTTTGTAAGCAGATTAACATGCTATAAAACAAGTTCGATATTATTAAGAGATGAGAATGCATTAAATTTCATTAAAAATGAGGATGGGTATTTTGAACAATGGTAGAAAAAACATATAGTTATTTAATATACTTAATCATTCTGATATTAATCACATGCTAATAATTAATGTGAATTTAAGGACATTTGCACAAAAATAGCAAACTTTTTATGGTTAAAAAAGGGGAGGTGTTAAGTATATGCTTTTCTAGACACATGCAGAGTTACCTGAGACAAAGCAGCATCCCGTTCTTCTATCACTGCGTTCATTTCTTCTGCAGTTATTCTCTTTTTACATTCTTTGGTCTTGTAGATTCTATCCACAATTATAGCTCCATTCTTCTGAATAGCTATCCCTGTGTCTGCATTGTTTATTCTGTTCAGTAATTCCTGTAATGTCTACCAACACCATTATATGTTAGTCAGACATGAAGTTTTAATATATTTTATTTAATATAGGGTTTTAATTAATAGGCACATGTGAATTGTAAATTGACTGAGAGAAGTTATTGAATTTTCATATTGCAGCAAAGATGTACATTATTAGTGTGTCAATTCTTCTTTTTCCCACATCTTAGTTCTTGAAACCCACTCAATTGAACTTAAGCCTCTAAGATATAAGACTGACATCAAGAAATCTCCTCAGAGAATGGCTTACCATGTCATTTTCTTCAGGGTTAATATTTTCTAGCCTAGAAAAAGGGACACAGAAAGCCTGATCAGTAGCATTTCCTTAGTGCAGCAAAATGAGTTCGCTTTTTAAATCTTTAGAACCTCAAGTAATTTCATTCGACTAGTCTTTAGAGTCAACCATGACACTGAACATATTAAAGTGCCACCTGCTCGACTCCATCTTTCAATAATGCTCCATATCTTCTGCACTGACTTCAGACTGTTAAGTTATTAATGTTTACTGCTATATATGACTACAAGGATCAATTGTTCATATGTGCTTAGATGAAGAAAGTTCCCCAGTGATAGAAGCACTCATTCTTATCATTATATTTATTCCTGGACTTTCAATTCTTATCAGAAACTGTGTTTCCTCTTTTGTGAATGCCATCACAAGTAAAACAAGGCAGGTATTTTTACTGCAAAGTTTAACTATGTTCCCTCAAAAGCAATGACAAATAATTACACTAAATTTGACTTGAAAATCTCCTGCTACCTGTTTGTTACAACAAATATACTGCATAGAAACACTGGCTAAATGTGGACAATGTCTTTAGCTGACTAATGCTATTTCACCTTTTCCATAAAACATATAGAATTATTCTATTTAAACACAAAGGAAGTAAATTGGATTCCCTCATGAACGCATTTAGTCTTATGAGTCACTGTGATTACAAAATGATTGCTGATGCTGATGAATTAAAGAAACACAGTAAATTAAAGAAAAATAAAAGCAATGAGTATTAGCGAAAAGAATGACACAGATTTTAGAAGTGATCTCAATTATTACCTACAAAGTTTAGATATCTAAGTTTCTGATTAATATTAATTTTTAAAAAAGGATGCTAGGAAAATATAATAGAAGACATTCGAGGGCGCTGGCTGGTGGAGTAGCAGTAACACAATGATCTTTGAAGCTGACCACAATGGTAAGGTTCCTGGTTCACACCTGGAGTCCTCTCCTTGAATATGCCAAGCACATGTGTGCCCATAATCTGGGGCTGGATGAAGCCGGGGTTGGGTCAGAGTATGAGGATGCTGTTGGGAGTGCCTGTCTCTCTCTTTCTCTCACTCTCTCTCTCTGATGGAAGACGTTAAAAAAAAAAAAGACACTCAGTAAATATGCTATAAAACTGTTTCAAATTCCACAACTGGATGATACTGCTACACTCATAGAGAATAGCATTTTCTTTTTTTATTGCCAAAGGGCATGTGTGCTCACCAGAGACAGAGAAAGTTAAAGGGAAGGAAAAAAAGCATTCCTGATGAGGTGTGATCAGACCACAATCTCTTCTCTTCCATTTCTCTATCCTTTCAGGAGTGATTTTTTTTTCTTTTTTTGGAGAGGTTTTCGCTATAGGGCGCGTGCGCTCACCAGACAGACAGAGAGAGACAAAGAGACAGAAAACGAGAAGTCACCTCCCAGGGGGGATGGCCACGCAGCAATTCCCTCTCCTCCATTCTCCTCTCGGGATCTTGGGCACGCACACACACACACCCGGCGTGTTTTAAGCTACCGGGTCCGGGACACGAACCGTGGTCGACTACGTGGGAGTCCAGCGACATAGCCATTATGCTAACTGCTGGTCCCCAGGAGTGATTTTAATGACGCCAAGTCAGAACTTGAACAATAGTCATGTGGAATCCAGCTGCCTTAACCACTAGACCACGGGAGCCCAGAACACTGCATTTTTAAAAAGTTTATTATTCATTTCCTACATGGGAGGAGGGACCAGTGACAGGGGCTTCTCACTGCAGCAATTTATTTTTCCTCCATCCATCATTTTGGGCTTGCCCAGAGGCATCCTTGGTGTACTGAGATAGATGAAGAACCTAGAGCCTTCCCACATGGTCTCCAGCATCACACAAGCCATCCCCTACTGCCTTCCCACTGTGGCTGTGTCTAGCACAGGGGTCCCCAACCCCTGGCTACACACTGGTGCCAGTGTGTGACCTGTTAGGAATCGAGCTACACAGAAGCAGGTAAGCTGTAAGAAGCGAGTGAAGTCTCATCTGTATGTACAGCCACTCACCATCATTCTCATTACTGTCTGAGTTCTGCCTCCTATCAGATCAGTGGTGGCATTAGAGCCTCACAGTAGTCCCCAGGTGGGACCACCATCTTGCAAGAAAACAAGCTCATGGCTCCCACTAATTCTGCATTATGGTGAGTTGTATAATTATTTAATTATATATTACAATGTAATAAAAATGAAGTGCACAATAAGTGTAATGCACTTGAATCATCCTGAAAGCACCCTACCCACCCCCCCCCCCACCATTTGTGAAAAAACTGCCTCCCACAAAACTGCTCCCTGGTGCCCAAAACGTTGGGGACTACTGGTCTAGTTCATAGTATTTTTTTAAAAAAATTTGCCAGAAGTCACATGCACTTTCCAGGGAGAGATACAGGGAGAAAGAAGAAAAGTAAGAAATCACTCCCCATGGAGAATGGTCATGCTGCAATCCTTTCTCTTCCATTTTTCTCCTCTTTTGGGATTTGGGGCAAGCACACACGTGATTAGCATGTTTCTCAAGCCACAGGACTTGGCACTTGAACTGAGCAGTAAGCCATGTGAGATCCAGCTTCCTTAAATACCATGTCATGGGCTGGCCCAGAATATAGTATTTTAACATAAAAATACATAAACATATATCAAAAAGTTACTCAATACATAATGAAATAGTATGTAAGTTAATAGGAAGATATGCTAATTTTGAATGATATATAACTTACATTTAACTTAAACTACGAACTTAATTGTCAAAGGCACATATACTCACCAAGAGGGAGAAACACACACACACACAAACACACAGAGAAAGAGAGAGAGAGAGAGAGAGAGAGAGAGAATATCCTCCCCTCTACCCCAGCTTCCACCATGGGGCATGGTCACACTGCAAATTCCTTTTTTCTCTCTTTCTTCAATCTATCAGGATCGGGGGCATACATGTATTTGGCACAGTGTGTTTTTCACACTGTGAGCTGGGACTCAAACTGTGGTCGGCCACGTAGGATTCTACTTTCTTTGCCCAGCACTTAATCATTGCACTATAGGGATGGCCCTGAATTCACATCTCAAGAAGGGCAGGAACCAGCAGTTAGCGTCATGGCTATGTCGCTGGACTCCCATAGTCGACTGTGGTTTGAGTTCCGGATCTGGTGGCTTAAATTCACACCGGGCGTGTGTGCATGCGTGCCCAAGATCCTGGGAGGAGAAAGGATTGCAACATGGCCATCCCTTCCTCAGGGGTGATTTCTCAATTTCTGTCTGTTTCTCTGGAGAGCCCACGCTCCCTGTAGCAAAAACCTCTCCAGAAAGAAAGAAGGGCAAATATTCCCATATTTTATCATTTTTCCCAAAATAAATCAACAGTTTTCAAAGATACTGCTTAAAAAAGCTGATTCTACAAGTAATATGAAAGTAGTCATTTCTTTTTTACTTAATTGGAAACATAGTAAAAAAAGTGCAAGGTAGTAAAACCAAATCTTTCTATTTTCTATCTACATAAACTTTTAATAGACTGTTTTTCTTTTGTGTCCATGAAAATAGGACTGATAAAAAGACCCATTTTAGGGAACCAGCAGTTAGCGTAATGGCTATGTCGCTGGACTCCCATGTAGTCGACCGCGGTTCGCGTCCTGGACCCGGTGGCTTAAAACTCACGCTGGGCGCGTGTGCGTGCGTGCCCAAGATCCCAAGAGCCCAACCCCTGGCTACACACTGGTGCCAGTGTGTGACCTGTTAGGAATCGAGCTACACAGAAGCAGGTAAGCTGTAAGAAGCGAGTGAAGTCTCATCTGTATGTACAGCCACTCACCATCATTCTCATTACTGTCTGAGTTCTGCCTCCTATCAGATCAGTGGTGGCATTAGAGCCTCACAGTAGTCCCCAGGTGGGACCACCATCTTGCAAGAAAACAAGCTCATGGCTCCCACTAATTCTGCATTATGGTGAGTTGTATAATTATTTAATTATATATTACAATGTAATAAAAATGAAGTGCACAATAAGTGTAATGCACTTGAATCATCCTGAAAGCACCCTACCCACCCACCCCCCCACCATTTGTGAAAAAACTGCCTCCCACAAAACTGCTCCCTGGTGCCCAAAACGTTGGGGACTACTGGTCTAGTTCATAGTATTTTTTTAAAAAAATTTGCCAGAAGTCACATGCACTTTCCAGGGAGAGATACAGGGAGAAAGAAGAAAAGTAAGAAATCACTCCCCATGGAGAATGGTCATGCTGCAATCCTTTCTCTTCCATTTTTCTCCTCTTTTGGGATTTGGGGCAAGCACACACGTGATTAGCATGTTTCTCAAGCCACAGGACTTGGCACTTGAACTGAGCAGTAAGCCATGTGAGATCCAGCTTCCTTAAATACCATGTCATGGGCTGGCCCAGAATATAGTATTTTAACATAAAAATACATAAACATATATCAAAAAGTTACTCAATACATAATGAAATAGTATGTAAGTTAATAGGAAGATATGCTAATTTTGAATGATATATAACTTACATTTAACTTAAACTACGAACTTAATTGTCAAAGGCACATATACTCACCAAGAGGGAGAAACACACACACACACAAACACACAGAGAAAGAGAGAGAGAGAGAGAGAGAGAGAGAGAATATCCTCCCCTCTACCCCAGCTTCCACCATGGGGCATGGTCACACTGCAAATTCCTTTTTTCTCTCTTTCTTCAATCTATCAGGATCGGGGGCATACATGTATTTGGCACAGTGTGTTTTTCACACTGTGAGCTGGGACTCAAACTGTGGTCGGCCACGTAGCATTCTACTTTCTTTGCCCAGCACTTAATCATTGCACTATAGGGATGGCCCTGAATTCACATCTCAAGAAGGGCAGGAACCAGCAGTTAGCGTCATGGCTATGTCGCTGGACTCCCATAGTCGACTGTGGTTTGAGTTCCGGATCTGGTGGCTTAAATTCACACCGGGCGTGTGTGCATGCGTGCCCAAGATCCTGGGAGGAGAAAGGATTGCAA